GTGGTGGTGGTGGTGGTGGTTCTGCTGCCTCCTGAGGGATGGGATTTGCTCACTACCAGGGCAATTCTCCCATTTCAGCTGGCCATGAAATATGAGGTTCAGGGCAAGTGTTTGGCTTTAGGCCTGCCATGGGTAGCATGGGTGACTAACTCAGACCAGTCTCCTGTGATGAAGGATCATAATACTGATTCCACAGGGCTGAAGGAGGGATTGGAGGTGATCAACTTTCTGGCTCCAGTTCAGCAAGACCATAACCTTTAGGACCCCTGGGCCATAAAGGACCTGCTCCTTCCTGGACACTTCTCCAGGACTCTGCCACTTTTCTTCCTGGTCTGGCCAAGGCCTGGTAAACTATTGGGGAAGATGAGGTCCAGACCGTGGCAGTGAGGCCGAGGATAATCAGGTGCTGGCCACATTTGCAGAAGAGATTAGATCATCTGTCACATGTCTGAGCAGCACACTATTTTCTTAGGCACCGTCTGTGGGGTCCTGGTGAGTGGGCGGGCAGTGCTGGCCAAAGGCCGCAGAAACTGCACAGGGCCCAGGCTGCTTTGCTTCCTCTGACCCCATTTTCATCGCAATGGCCGTGTCTGGAGGATACAGTGACCTCAGCTAGAGGATGAGCTGCCTGCTGCTCAGGCAGAGACAGACGGTGCAGAGAGAGGATGGCTGTCTTCTCTTGGGATTTTGTGGATTTGGTTTTGTATCTGGGAGCAGAACTCAGGGGCTCAGTGATCTCTACCCCCAGCCTTTTTCCCTTTTCAAACTGAGAATCTCACCCTATGAGAGCCACTGAGGTGCTCCAGCTGTCTTTGGAGAATAGGGTCCTTTCCTTTGGTGACCTCTAAGACTGTGGCCCAGGAGAAGCTGATACTCCACATGGAAAGTGGGTAGCATAGAAGAGACCAGCAGAGGCAGGAGATCTTGGTAAAATGCAGGTCTTCTGGAGGCAGTCAGAGGGGAGAGCAGGCTGGGTCTCTGAGGAACCCTAGAGACCTGTACAGCTGACTAGTCGCCTTCCAGAAGTCTGACTACAAAGCTCACTCCCAGTCCCAGAGGAAACCGTTCTTCCTCATCTGTCCCAAGTCCACGAGAAAACAAAGTGAGCGTACTTACGGGTTTGTCATGAGAAGTTTGGTGAGGACACTCGGCCGACTCGCACGCTGGCCGTCTGACAGGTCAGGCCTTCGTGTGCAGAGAGTTAGTGTCACTTTAGATACCCTCGCGTTCAGATCTCAGCCCGGAGGATCACCAGAGACGTTTGGAGTAAGCTGAGGTAGCTAAGCTTGTTAGTGGACAGGCGTCTCCATGATCCTGGGGCAGGAGCCCTTTGCCCCTCAGGGAAACCAGATCGGGCAGTCTTAACCAGCTCTGAGGGGCCAGAGAGTGAGGCCTGGGGATCGGAGCCCCTTGTAGACACAGGTGCTACTCCGCAGAGCTCTAGCTCCCAGCTGTAGCCGCTGTGGTTCTCACAACCCCACCGCCTCCCCGCCTCTGTTTCCTCTGACGGCATCATCGGAGACCATGGAGGCACCACATTGCCCCTTTCCTGTTCTAGGGAGCAGCTGTTCCTCCCAGTCTCATGCTGGAGGTTCTTGTTTTTTTTACTCCATCTGCTCCAAGAACTAAAGAATGGGGAGGGATGAGCAGGAGTTTCCCATGCAGGTCTGTCCACAGCTATCACCAGAGCACTCAGTCTTAGCACTTCTACGTCCAAACACTCAGAGGGGAAGTCTAGGCATAATCACCTGGCGCCTTGTTCAATTAAAGACTCTGAAGTGGGACTCGTTTCTGGGCCAGTGAGATGGCTCAGTGGGTAAAGATGATTGCCACCAAGCCTGGCGACCCTGGTTCAATCCTCAGGACCCAATGGTGGAAGGAGAGAACTGATTTCTGGAAGTTACTTTCTGCATGTGACCATACTACCCCAAATAAGCAGGATCATTGAAAGTTGCCTCCTGACCTCCACTCCAGCACAGCAATAAGTGAAAAAACAAAACAA